TCCATACTTCAGTCCAGTTGGACTCATTTACACTGTCTGGTGTTGTTTTAATTGATCTGTTCACTGAACTATTGTAATTATCAGTTAAGTCTTGAAGAACGTCTAACCATTTATATGTACTGGCACTGTAGAAGTACTTCCACATTAGAGCCTTCAATGTTCTGTTAAATCTTTCCACAACTGCGGCCTTTTTGTCTGAGTAAGTAGAGAAATATTCAATGTTATGTTTATTGAGCAATGATTTTACTTCTTTTTAATGTAAAACTCTGTGCCTTGATCAAACTGGGCGAATTTTGGGTATTTACCAAAACGATTATTAAATTGCTCTAAAATGTTACTGACTGCGTCCTTCATTGATGTTGCGTTTTTCCTATACACTGGTACTGTGAATGCGTACCTACTCAGTATTTCAATGGATGTGAGAATCCATCGGTATCCCTTGTTCTTGTCATCATATTTTGTCATGTCAACTAAATCCATTTGTAACTGCTCACCTAAAGTTTGAACGTACGTCTGTCTGAACTTATGTTTCCTGAACACTTGTCTGTACCTAGTGTATGTGTCCTGCTCGTTTATCCATTTCTTGACCTGGTTTCTGGTTACTTTAAGTCCGTCTGATACTGCTCTCAGATATAGTTTCTCTGGTGTTTGGAATCCAGTCTTAGGATTGTAGTAAATATCTCGTAGTCCCTGTTCTTTCATAATATCATCGTCCATCTTATATTAACCAATGTAAGCTTGCTACCGACTACGTTAGTAGACGCTACGCTGCGTAGCTAGTACTCAAGGTACATCTCAAGTAGCACTTCACCTATATTAATAGGTTTCCCATCTTGATCTGTCATGTAGAATACAAGTTCTGAGAAAGAACCCCTGACTACAGGAATTCTGCTTTCTACATCGATGTAGCTAACAACTGAGCCCAATAACGGTCTGTCAGTTGGAATTGTAACGCTTGTTATTACATCACTATGTCTTCCCCAGGTGTTAACATTAAAGCTGTTATTAGCTAGATTGCAGTGTATATTTACACCTCGTAGACCATTATTAAAGTCAACTTTGCTATCACTTGTTAAACTCCTTCCTTTTAGTAAGATCATAGGATTATTAAATCTACTAAAACCTAGCATTGTTAAAAACCTGGTTTCTATTGTAATGTCCTGCTTTACAGCTTCTATTTGACATCCTGCCGTTTCAGGAAAATATGTTAGTTTAACACCATGTCTCTCAAGTAATTTTCTCATACTATCAAATGTATAGTAGCCCTTGCTGACAATGACATCGGATTCCCCGTCAGCTGTTTTTACCTTGAGAATAGTTGTCGGTCCTGTTATATTGAAGTATTCCCAGAACACTGAAACTCTCTTTATGAAGACTGAATTATAATTACTCGTTAGAACTGAATTCTGTAATGGCATAATAGTGTGCGACCCTTGAAGTAAAACTGTAAACTTCATCTTAATAACATACGTTAGGTTATTAAGAATGATACCAGGTGGAGGAGACGTTGGGAAGTCGCCTTATAGGTCTTACCAAGATTATGAAAAAAAGTATGGAAAAGAAGATGAAAATGATGTTGATCCTATTGCTGGTAAAAAAGCTGAGAATGCTGAGAGGGCTAGGTTTGTCAAAAAGTACCCTCACGCTGATATGAATAGGTTTAGGTTTGAAGCTATGACTACAAGTAGTGGTGATATTGGAGTTGTAACATGGTTTGTGGACTTAGATGGCATAACTTCATATGACATTAGGTATGGCGGCTTTCTGAATAATAAGGAGTTCACATCTTATCTTACTGGTACTAAGGAAATTATTATTCCTGCTCAGTTTATTTCAATGACTGACATGAAACAGCCCCCGTTAGAAGTACCAGGTGAAGTTGATGGGTGGCCTGCAATGTGGGCCTCCGGAAAGGGAACTGGATACGGGGTAAATTCTGATGACACGGTTGATGGTCACAGTTACTTTCCTAAAATAAAATGGCCTAAGGATGTTAACAATTTTAAGTTGTATGTTGACGCTACAAGCTTCTTTACTACAACAGGTGGTGCAGGTGGATTTCTACTTCCAAGTATCTCAAGTCTGATTACCACTAAGGGTGTTGATGTAAAGTTTGATTATAACAAGCCGTATTTTGCTGCACTATGCGGGGCATTTATTGCTACACATCTTAGTGGAATCACAACTAGTCATATGACTCCTAGTAATGATGTTTATCCTATTACTAGTGTTATGGACTTTCATGTTTACTATACCGGGTGGCGCAAAAAAAAGTTCACGCGTTTGATTTAGTACAGCGAAAAAACTATAAGTGTTACGTTCCTCAAATAAATGTTATCCTATACAGGAAGGCCTAACTTAAATTTTGATGTATAACACATGCATTTTTGTTTAGTATTACCCAAGATATTGGTAAATCAATTTGAATATGCAATTTCAAAACGTTCCAAAATTAGCTGAAAATAGCCTATTAAATACGAGTAAAGGAATTAACGATATATAAAGAACACAACGGCAGTAAATAACGCGTTTATCATGGAAAATTAAATAACTATATTCTTGCACGTGTGACCATACTATCGAACGAATTAACGTTGGATTTATTTGCTGGTCAAAGTTATGGCAATCCGCAATAATCGCTTCACGAAACTGTCTCAAATTGTTCGGTTGTTGATCTAATTTAATTCCCTGTAGCTATGGGACATGGAATACTGCGAAGCAATTCTTAATTAAAAGAGCCATCTTTTTCGAAATTTTGTTGCTTTTCAAATGATAATAAAACAAATAAATAAATAAGGAAAATCATTCGTTACACGTTTCAATTCAAATTAAATTCATACAAGCGAATATGTCTGACGAAATTCTAAAATTTATCAAAATAGTTTAATAGGCCATTTTTAGCCAATTTGTCAGATTTTCAAAACTTCGTTCCAAATTTTATTTGGCGATATCCCAGTCAATATTGCACGTAAATAAACATGCTATAGCTCAAAATTTAAGTTAGACTATTATGAATACAGCTACGTTTATTTCAGGGATGTAACCCTTAAAGATTGTTCGCTGTACTAAATCAAACAGTTATACTTTTTTTTGCGCCACCCGGTACTATCAGAAAATTTGTGTACAACCCTGAGAGGCTGAAACCATATTTAAGTAGGTTGGGTCCTGTAAAGAGTCACATTCCAGTTGTTGGTAAGTGGGAAAATAAAACTGATACTTATAGAGTCACCTATGATAACGGACTTGAGTATGAAAAAGCAAGCTGGCTTAGGAAGAGAGGTAGTGATAGCAATCCAGTTAGGAACGTTGTTGCGTCCCCTATAAACTCAGTCAATGGATTTCTAATTAAGATAAAAATTAGTTATGAAGAAAGGGTTTCAGTAAGTCTGGTAGGTAAGTCTGACTATAGAAGGTTTATTGCTGTTAACAACCTGGTTGTTCCGAAGAATATTACTGAAACTGGGCTACTATTACTAAATGAGTCAGTGCAGGCGTTCTCGTATTCCGTACTAGGTGCACAAGCATCGACAAGAACTCCAATTGTAGGTGAGATGGGAAAGTCATTTTCTACCCAGGTGAAGTTCGGTAATATTGTTCACGATTGTGTTGTACAAGCGGATCCCGTTGTAACTCTATCTAATATGAGAACGGCTATCAGGGACACAAATGTTATACTTAATACAGCCATTACACCTGGAATAGTTCTGGTTCCGTCCAGTCTAATCATTCTAAAGAATCCCGTTCCTGGATATAATAATATTCTTGTAAATGCTTCTTATAATATGAAGCGTGGAGTTAACACTAAGGTAAACTATGTTGGAGTTAAAAAGCCTGATCCTCCTAAGAAACAGCATCAAGACACTACACCAGTTCACCACCTTGATACTATTCACGGAACTAAAAAAGTTCCAGGGGGTTCTACAAGTACTAGGCCCCGGGGAGGTTCTGCGGGTGCTGAGACTCAAGTTGTTCCTATCACGGGGAATAGTATGGTTAGTACTAATGAGTCTTCAGGAGTCAGTGCTATTGCTGGAGCTGGAATTGGTGCTATAGTTGTATTCATTCTAATGAAAGTTGCCCTGTAAACATTATGTATTCTATAAAATGGCTCTCTATAGAGGATACAATAAAGGAGTAAATAAAGTTGACCCGTCAAGTGGTAGTGTGTTTGATAAGGATGGATTTACCATGAAGGGTGACATTGAGATGGATGGTAATGAGGTGAAAGGTCTGGGTGCACCTACAGATGATACTTCTGCGACCACAAAAAAGTGGGTGGATGATGAGATCATTAAACGGGCTGCTCTTACAATTCAACCAGCAGTGTTTACAATGACTGGGGATATTAACATGGGAGGTAATAAGATAATTAATCTTGATAATCCTACTAACCCAGGTGATGCTGTTAGTAAGAGTTGGGTTGAAGGTAGTCGTAGGCATATACATGTAAGCCTACCTGGTCTTATTCTTACAAATGATCTCAATATGTCAACCAATGAAATAAAGGCTTTAGGTGATCCCACAACTGGAAAGTCTGCTGTTAGTAAGGACTGGGTAGTTGGAATGCTAAATAGACCTGTCACTGGACTTGATATTGTTGGTGATATTGATATGAAGGACCATGAGATTAAAAACTTAGCTGACCCCACTGAGGACCAGTCTGCTGTCACAAGAAAGTGGGCTGCTGACAATAACTTTGTTAAAAAAGGTGGAACTATGCAAGGAGATGTTTCCATGGGAGGCTGGAGACTATTTGATATTATTGACCCTAAACTTAGTAGTGAAGTTGTATCTAAAGGTTGGGTTGAAAATAAGATGTCTACAGTTCCTAGTACCTCTGGTTTTACAATGTCAGGTGATCTTCAAATGGGCGGACATGAAATTAAAAATGTTGGTAATCCCACTACTGACCAATCTGTTGTTACAAAAAGGTGGTTCGACTCAAATAGGGGAACATTTTTAAGGCTAAGCGACTCTTTCCTATTACAGAGTGTAACCGGGCCTATTAGCTTCTCTAAGGCCCCTAAAAGTTTCTCTGATGGGTTAGATTCAGCCAGTCTTGTAAGATTTAGCCAGCTAGTTACCTATCTTAAACTAAACGGTCTAAGTGAAATGACTGGTAATCTTAAGATGGGTGGAAATGAAATTGAAAATATTAGTAATCCTAGTGTTGATACATCTGCTGTTTCCATGGGGTGGGTAAAAAATAATGTTGTCACGCGTGTGGGTGGTTCTAAAAACAATATGACCGGCACCTTGTGGATGAAAGGTAACAGAATACGTGAACTCGGAAATCCTGAGTATCTCACAGACGCTGTAAATAGAGGGTGGGTTGAAAATAAGATCTCTGGAGGTAGAAGTAAGCGTGAGACTTACAGTGGACTTACACTTTCTGATGACCTTGATATGGGAAATAATGAGATTATAAAATTAGGTGCTCCTACAACTGATAATTCTGCTGTGTCAAAGAAATGGGTCACGGATCATGTCAGTGGGAGTTCTGTTAGTAGTAGTGGACTTACTATGAGCGGTAATATTGATATGGGTGGTAATAGTATTACGGGGCTAAATAGTGGCTCGGTTGGGGATTCTAGTGCAGTTTCTTATGGAACTATGAGCAATTGGTGTAAACAGTTCCTGAAACGTGATGGTGGTGTTTTAGCAAGCAATCTAGATGTTAACGATTTCGAGTTAACTAGAGTTGGTGACCCTACAACTGACGGTTCAGCTGTTAATAAAAGGTGGGCAACTGATGAGTTCATGAGTAGTAGAGGTGGACTGGTAAAGGGTGATTTGGACATGGGAGATTCAAGTGGTATTCTTGATCTAAAGGATCCTGTAAATGATAAGGATGCTGTTAACAAACAATGGGTAGAAAGGAATTTCCTTAAACCTTCCACTGGACTTGTACAAGCAGTGGCCGATAAGAGATACGTAAGAATAAACCGTCATATTCACGCTGAGTGGATCTGGGGTTATCGTGGTGTTTCAGTTGCAGCAACAAGGTACTATGCTTACTGTCACGACCAGATTCCACCTTCATGGAGAACAGATCCTATTAATAATATGACAGACCTCAACCTTGAGTCAATTACTATTAAATCAGACTACCCACGTTTTTCAACTATTCAAAATATACCACTAGCTCTAATTCTATGGGCTACTGTATGGGAGAAACAATCTAATGGAAAATTTACCCAGGTTAAGAAGGAAATCGCTCTGAGAACAATAGACTTAAGAAGACTGTCACACACCTGGTTTAATGGAACTTACACAACTACAGGTGGAAGTACAGCTTGCTACGTTTTCAAGGGTAATAGTATGTTCTATTTAGGAGCCCAGGTTGAGTTGGTAGATAACACGCTGGCTTGGTGTATTATAGTTAAACCTGAACACTCAATGCCCACTGGATCGAGTATGGATATGTCCTTTTGCTGGTCACTCCGATATTCGGGGTCAGGTATTTAACATGTGGTCTATCATAAGATAAGATGTCAAGGTGGAGGTCATGCTTCTCCTGCTTAGGTAAGATTTGTGGTTGTCGTAAGAGTTCTAGTAAGAATGGAAAGGTTGGTGATATAAATTTCTCTGTATCAAATAATATTAACGTTGACGTCAACACACAGAACAACAAAGATGATTCAAGTAATGTGTTTGACCCTAAGAGCTTCGGCCCCTTGAGTATAATTAAATATAATAATAAAGATTTAAATAATAGATAAAAAATGAGGTAAAAAAGACCACTGAAAAAATGGCCTAGAAAAAAATGGTCTAGAAAAAAATGGGCCCGCGTTCTTTGGGGAAAATCTGGGAAACCGCTGACCGGAAGTGGGGTGGGATCGCGGGCTGAAAAAATGGTCTAGAAAAAATGGTCCAAAAAATAATTCCAAAAAGTGGTCTAGAACCCTCAGTTCCTATACTACTCAAGTTGAAGCCGGAAAATGTAATCTTTCTTCAAGGCGACTCGTTTGAAATTGAGAAAACCTTTACTGACGAATTCCTCAAGAGCCTCCCTCATCCGTGGGTGTTCATCGAGGATGCACATGCCAATGTAGACAGCGTTTTGGAGTACTTTCATCGATACCTACAAGAAGGGGACTACATGGTTGTTGAAGATACTGGCCCTCAGTAATATTCCTAAAGAATGTGGTATGTACATGGGGAACGAAGGCGTCTATGTCGCAATGGGTCGTTATTGGGTCCAAAGCAGTTGCAATGTCTTCGACAGTTCTTGCACGACTACGAGGAATTTTACGCGGTCGACAGCTTTCACACACTGATCTGTTTGGTTACAACTGCAGCTGGAATTGGCATGGATTTATACGCAGAATGAAATAAATGGCAATTACAGTATACTAATGAGTAGTGTGAAATAAATTGAGTAACACATTCAGAATTTTTGAAGCAGATTAATTAGCAATGACTTAGAAATATATCAAACCTTGACAGTGTTTTTTTATCTATCTTTATGTACCAAAAATGGTATACGTATTAATGTTATTGATTAAATTAATATTTCTGTTAGCAATTGTTTTTTTGTCACTCCCTTCGCTGGATCAGCATACGGCCATTGCTGCAGGCCTAAATTCTAAAGTTTATAAACATTATTTATGCCGAACTGCCTCAAGCCCCAGTCACGGATACCTGATTCGCATCGGAGCGAGACGAGCGACCTCAACTAAGACGGTTTTTGGCCTTTTACAACTATTTATATTTGAAGTCTTCACTATAATTGTGTTATATTAATTATCATAATTTTGACTGCTAAACTCCCCTTGAAACTGTAAAATTTGATGTCGCTCCGATGAGAATCCAGACGGTATCGTGTGACTGCCGGGGGCCTCAATCACGCAATGCCAAGAATGTTTGTAGATCAATAGATAATATGAGTATCACTACAGGGGGGGGGGGTGAATAGGGGTATACAAATCCGCCGATCCGCTTAAATTTAAAGCAAAATCCGCGATCCGACAATGGTCTTGTGTAAATTTGAATTCGCTAAAAGCTCTACTGTGAAGTCACAATCCAGGAACCGAACTAAATTGCAAGCTAAAACCACAATCCGAGCCAAAATATTAGATAAATCCGCAATCCGCTGTATTAATAAGATCCGCAAATCCGTGTAAAATATTCACCAGATCCGAAATCCGAACAAATGTACACCCTTTCAAATTCAAATTAGCCATAACCTTTTAAATATTCGTTGCTCTGCAAAAAGTTGTATCTTGTCTTTGCTATGTATTGTATTGCATTGCATTGTATTGCATTGTATTGCATTGCACTGCATTGCATAATATTCAATTTTGTTCTGTGCGATGTAGTTTTGTTTTGCGATATGTTGTTTTGTGTTTTATTCTTAAAATTTAGCAATTTTTAAGGGCCCACAGTAATTGGTGTATACTGTTGTGGTGTCCCTGCCACTTGTTTGGGGTAGGGATAAAACGCTGAAACTGAATCGCGGAAACGGAAACTGAAAGCGGAAACTGAAATGGGGGTAAAACTCTGAAATGGGGGTAAAACGCTGAAATGGGGGTAAAACGCTGAAATGGGGGTAAACCGCTGAAATGGGGGTAAAACGCTGAAATGGGGGTAAAACGTTGAAATGGGGGTAAAACGCTGAAATGGGGATAAAACGCTGAAATGGGGGTAAAACGCTGAAATGGGGGTAAAACGTTGAAATGGGGGTAAAACGTTGAAATGGGGATAAAACGCTGAAATGGGCAAATTTAATCGAATTCGTTGTTTGCTAGACCATTGCGAACACATGTAATTTGCCTATAAAACTGAATAAATATAAGAAAGAAGTTCCCGGTAGAATGACAACCACAAATTTTCGAAGAACGAATATAATCTGACAGTTTATCTTTCATTAATAATGTAATCTACAATTTTCTCCATATAACTTCGAACTCAACTTTTTGTGATAGCATACTATCTTCACACTGCCATATGGCTGGTATTTTGGGTGTAAAATCGGCGTCACAGGAATTTCCCGGGAATTGTCAGGACACGTGTCTAAATCGGAAAAAACGTTTTTCTTATGCCTACACGCGTAAAAATCATGAACTTGTAGTTGCAATGTTGATAAAAACAGGTTGCAACAATAATGTGCTACGCCTATTGTTCACGAATGTTAACAATATTGTTCAGCATTGTTGCACCCCATTCAAGATGAATAATATTGTTCAATGTTGTTAACTGTAAAAAACAGGTCAGCATACAGTACAGTACGGTACAGTACGGTACGGTACGGTACGGTACGGTACGGTACGGTGCAGTACAGTACAGTACAGTACAGTACAGTACAGTACAGGCAGTACAGCAGGCTCAGCGTTTTTGGCCGTGTAGAATTGAACAAACTAACTGAACAAACTAAAAACAAAGCAATATCGACATCATGCCACGTCAAATTTGAGCACCAAACTCTCGTAAAAAGCGCACATGTTCTGGTGTTAAATAATATGGCAGCCAATTTGGTACAGTTACGCAGGCAGGGTTAAAATATGGCTGCTTCATCTTGAGGCAACTCAAATTTACATGGAAATATACATTTTGTTCTTTGAACATCAACTGTCCATCAGGAGTATTAGGGTTAGGAAAACCTCTATTCATACGTGTAATAATCGTCAAATCATACGGTGGACTTGCGATAATCCCGCCGAGTTTTAACGATTGGGAACACCCAAAACAGGTGCGAACTAAAGGAGGACAACACTGCAAAAGACTAAGAACAAATGTTCCTACTGGAGGATTGACAGCGGTAGGTAATGGGACCTGTTGGGATCCTTGTGGCGTTGCTGACGCTGACCGAGGCGCATAAACTGGCTGTTGCATTGACGTCATATAACGTAGAAAAAACTATCCT